AAGACAACAGTGCCACCACAAGTCAAGACAACAGTGCCGCCACAAGCTAAGACAACAGTGCCACCACAAGCCAAGACAACAGTGTTGCCACAGGCCAAGAAAACAGTGCCGCCACAAGCCAAGACAACAGTACCACCAGAAGTCAAGACAACAGTGCCACCACAAGTCAAGACAACATTGCCACCACAAGTCAAGACAAAAGTGCCGCCACAAGTCAAGACAACAGTGCCACCACGAATCAAGACAACAGTGCACTACAAGCAAGACAACAGTGCCACACAGGCCAAGACAACAGTGCCGCCACAAGTCAAGACAACAGTGCCACTACAAGTCAAGACAACAGTGCCACCACGAATCAAGACAACAGTGCCACCACAAGCCAAGACAACAGTGTTGCCACAGGCCAAGAAAACAGTGCCGCCACAAGCCAAGACAACAGTACCACCAGAAGTCAAGACAACAGTGCCACCACAAGTCAAGACAACAGTGCCACCACAAGTCAAGACAACAGTGCCACCACAAGTCAAGATAACAGTGGCACTACAAGTCAAGACAACAGTGCCACTACAAGTCGAGACAACAGTGCCACTACAAGTCAAGACAACAGTGCCACCACAAGTCAACACAACAGTGCCGCCACAAGTCAAGATAACAGTGCCACTACAAGTCAAGACAACAGTGTCACTACAAGTCGAGACAACAGTGCCACTACAAGTCAAGACAACAGTGCCACTACAAGTCACGACAACAGTGCCACCACAAGTCAACCCAACAGTGCCACTACAAGACAAGACAACAGTGCCACTACAAGTCAAGACAACAGTGCCACTACAAGTCAAGACAACAGTGCCACTACAAGTCAAGACAACAGTGCCACCACAAGTCAAGACAACAGTGCCACTACAAGTCAAGACAACAGTGCCACCACAAGTCAAGACAACAGTGCCACTACAAGTCAAGACAACAGTGCCACCACAAGTCAAGACAACAGTGCCACCACAAGTCAACACAACAGTTCCACTACAAGTCAAGACAACAGTGCCACCACAAGTCAAGACAACAGTGCCACTACAAGTCAAGACAACAGTGCCACCACAAGTCAAGACAACAGTGCCACTACAAGTCAAGACAACAGGGCCACTACAGGTCAAGACAACAGTGCCACCACAAGTCAAGACAACAGTGCCGCCACAAGTCAAGACAACAGTGCCACTACAAGTCAAGACAACAGTGCCACTACAAGTCGAGACAACAGTGCCACCACAAGTCAAGACAACAGTGCCACCACAAGTCAAACAACAGTTGCCACACAAGTCAAGACAACAGTGCCACCACAAGTCAAGACAACAGTGCCACCACAAGTCAAGACAACAGTGCCACAAGTCAAGACAACAGTGCCACCACAAGTCAAGACAACAGTGCCACCACAATTCAAGACAACAGTGCCACCACAAGTCAAGACAACAGTGCCACCACAAGTCAAGACAACAGTGCCACTACAAGTCAAGACAACAGTGCCACACAAGTCAAGACAACAGTGCCACACAAGTCCAGACAACAGTGCCACTACAAGTCAAGACAACAGTGCCACCACAATCAAGACAACAGTGCCACCACAAGTCAAGACAACGTGCCACACAAGTGCAAGACAACAGTGCCACACAAGTCAAGACAACAGTGCCACTACAAGTCAAGACAACAGTGCCACTACAAGTCAAGACAACAGTGCAACTACAAGTCAAGACAACAGTGCCACTACAAGTCAAGACAACAGTGCCACCACAAGTCAAGACAACAGTGCCACCTCAAGTCAAGACAACAGTGCCACCACAAGTCAAGACAACAGTGCCACCACAAGTCAAGACAACAGTGCCACCACAAGTCAAGATAACAGTGGCACTACAAGTCAAGACAACAGTGTCACTACAAGTCGAGACAACAGTGCCACTACAAGTAAGACACGGCCACACAATCACAAACAGTGCCACCACAAGTCAAGATAACAGTGTCACTACAAGTCAAGACAACAGTGCCACTACAAGTCGAGACAACAGTGCCACTACAAGTCAAGACAACAGTGCCACTACAAGTCAAGACAACAGTGCCACCATAAGTCAAGACAACAGTGCCACTACAAGACAAGACAACAGTGCCACTACAAGTCAAGACAACAGTGCCACTACAAGTAAGACAACAGTGCCACCACAAGTCAAGACAACAGTGCCACCACAAGTCAACACAACAGTTCCACTACAAGTCAAGACAACAGTGCCACCACAAGTCAAGACAACAGTGCCACTGCAAGTCAAGACAACAGTGCCACTACAAGTCAAGACAACAGTGCCACTACAAGTCAAGACAACAGGGCCACTACAGGTCAAGAAAACAGTGCCACCACAAGTCAAGACAACAGTGCCGCCACAAGTCAAGACAACAGTGCCACTACAAGTCAAGACAACAGTGCCACCACAAGTCAAGACAACAGGGCCACTACAAGTCAAGACAACAGTGCCACCACAAGTCAAGACAGCAGTGCCACCACAAGTCAAGACAACAGTGCCACTACAAGTCAAGACAACAGGGCCACTACAGGTCAAGACAACAGTGCCACCACAAGTCAAGACAACAGTGCCGCCCCAAGTCAAGACAACAGTGCCACCACAAGTCAAGACAACAGTGCCACCACAAGTCAAGACAACAGTGCCACCACAAGTCAAGACAACAGTGCCATCACAAGTCAAGACAACAGTGCCACCACAAGTCAAGACAACAGTGCCACCACAAGTCCAGAAAACAGTGCCACCACAAGTCCAGACAACAGTGCCACCACAAGTCCAGACAACAGTGCCACCACAAGTCCAGACAACAGTGCCACCACAAGTCAAGACAACAGTGCCACCACAAGTCAAGACAACAGTGCCACGACAAGTCAAGACAACAGTGCCACCACAAGTCAAGACAACAGTGCCACCACAAGTCAAGACAACAGTGCCACCACAAGTCAAGACAACAGTGCCACCACAAGTCAAGACAACAGTGCCACCACAAGTCAAGACAACAGTGCCACCACAAGTCTCAGTAGTGAAGCTGAGACAACTCTTGGCTTCATATCAACAAGTATAAATAACAGGAGTCCCAGGATTATACTTCAGCTTTATATATCCTTGGTAAAGCCTCGTTTAGATTATGCTGCGCAGGTTAAGATAAGATAAGATAAGATTTCGTTCGGATTTTTAACCCCGGAGGGTTAGCCACCCAGGATAACCCATGAAAGTCAGTGCGTCATCGAGGACTGTCTAACTTATTTCCATTGGGGTCCTCAATCTTGTCCCCCAGGATGCTACCCACACCAGTCCACTAACACCCAGGTACCTAGTTTACTGGTGGGTCAATATGGACAACTGGTGTAAGGAAACACATCCAATGTTTGCACCCTTGCCGGGAATCGAACCCGAAAACTCACCGTGTGAAGCGAGAGCTTGTGCAACCATGCCAAGGTGCACGGAAATAACTCGCTTCGTCTGACTTTTTCTGGGTCCTGCTGGTGGGGAATTTATACATATGTTTCTATGTATGATAATTGTACCTATGTGTACCTGTGCCTACATAAACACACTTAATCCCACGTATCAGAAATCTCTCCTACGAGGATAGACTGAGGCCCTGAACCTGCACTCTCTACAACGACGTAGAATTAGGGAAGGATGATTGAGGTGTATAAATAAAAAAGAGGAGTAAATAAAGAGAATGTAAATTACGTGTTGAAATTATCTGACCAAGAGAGGACTCGCAGCGATGGGTTCAAGTTGGAAAAATTTAGATCTAGAAAAGATTTAAGAAAGCACTGGTTTGGTAATAGAGTTGTGGATGAGTGGAACATACTCCTAAGTTGTGTTGAGGAAGATAAAACCTTGTGTAGCTTAAGAAAGAGGTTAGATAGGTGCATGAGTGGGTGTGAGTCTGACCTGTCTAGCATGGGCCAGTAGTCCTACAGCATTGCTCCTCCTTACTTATGTTCCTATGTAACTATTGCAGCAGTAGTAGTAGTAGTCGGAACTAACGTAGTAATGGAAACTAACGTAGAAGTGTTACACTTTTACGGAGCAGTAGAAACTAATTTAGTAGTAGTAGTAGAAGTAATAGTAGTAGTAGTAGCAGTGGGAACTAACCTGGGTATAGTGAACACTGAGGGTCGTGGGAACTAACCTGGGTATAGTGAACACTGAGGGTCGTGGGAACTAACCTGGGTATAGTGAACACTGAGGGTCGTGGGAACTAACCTGGGTATAGTGAACACTGAGGGTCGTGGGAACTAACCTGGGTATAGTGAACACTGAGGGTCGTGGGAACTAACCTGGGTATAGTGAACACTGAGGGTCGTGGGAACTAACCTGGGTATAGTGAACACTGAGGGTCGTGGGAACTAACCTGGGTATAGTGAACACTGAGGGTCGTGGGAACTAACCTGGGTATAGTGAACACTGAGGGTCGTGGGAACTAACCTGGGTATACTGAGCACTGAGGGTCGTGGGAACTAACCTGGGTATAGTGAACACTGAGGGTCGTGGGAACTAACCTGGGTATAGTGAACACTGAGGGTCGTGGGAACTAACCTGGGTATAGTGAACACTGAGGGTCGTGGGAACTAACCTGGGTATAGTGAACACTGAGGGTCGTGGGAACTAACCTGGGTATAGTGAACACTGAGGGTCGTGGGAACTAACCTGGGTATAGTGAACACTGAGGGTCGTGGGAACTAACCTGGGTATAGTGAACACTGAGGGTCGTGGGAACTAACCTGGGTATACTGAGCACTGAGGGTCGTGGGAACTAACCTGGGTATAGTGAACACTGAGGGTCGTGGGAACTAATCTGGAGAGGTGGGAACTAACCTGATAGCAGTGAGAATTAATCAGAAGTCATAGAAATTAACCAAGTGTCGTGGGAACTAACAGGCAAAAGGGTGTAGTGAGAAATAAGCAAGGGTAGTAGGAACTAACCTGGGGGTAGTGGGAGTCCTGGATGCTGAGGTAGAAGTGCTGGAGGTCCTGGAGGGAGACTTCAGCTCCACCTCCTCCTCCCCACCACTAGCACCACTCTCAGCTTCCTCAGAGATGTGTCTCAGCACTCGTGACCTGCACACCTGTGGCATTATCATTTTTATTATTATTATTATTATATTCAGTTCTAAACCGGGAAAGGTCAAACAAGTCTGGGAGAGGAATGTACAAAAGTAAAATTAACATCAAAGTTAGTGCAATGTTAGGTTGACAAGTCGAAGAGTCTGCATCGAAGGTGGAACTGTTTGCGAGGATAATGAGAGTGACTGTGTCACCTGACAGTCCTCACAGAGTTCTACCAGTTGATTCTTCTATGTGGCACCTGTGAGTGAGTCTCGTGTGTCCAGTACACAAGTGTAAGACAGTGGAAGACAGTGAGAAGATAACCAGAATCATGAACATGACTCTAGAGGAAACAACTTGTTGGTGTCCAGGGCGGACGACGTTGTTGCCAGCGGTGGCGGAGGAGGCCACAGAGACAGCATTAAAAAACAGTACGAATAAGGAATGTTCCTGTGTTGCTGGCTACAGCCCCAACTATGGTGCTAATGTGAGAATCGTGAGAATGATGTACATAGCCTATGTTAGGTCCTTAATTGATTATGTTGCTCCCATGTTGATATTAGCTAGAGAAAGTTCTCTCCGACCCTTGGAGTTAATGCAAAATGAAGCTCTCAGAATTATTCTTGGTTGTTCCAAATCTACAAAGGTTCTTAATATGAGGAAGGAGCTTGGTATTTCTAGTATCAGTGATAGGATTGTTGAGATTAACAGTGTACGCGGTATTAGAATGTTAAGAAATGAACCAGACACTGTCACAATGAACCTTACTAAGTGTCTTGAAGTACATACACACAGATCTAAATGGATTGTGAAAACGTGCAATTGCATTAAGTTTTATAACCTGCATGAACTGTATCACTGTAGGCAACAAGAGCATTTCACCCCTCCATGGAAGATGTGTTCATTTAATATCACATACCTACAAGTCCCTCCCAAGAAGCTCATTGCTAGTAATCCCTTCCTTAAATCTCTTGTTAGAGCAACTGCTCAAGAAGAAATTTCTCGCCTAGCTGGTAGTAACAAGTTATCACAAGTTATATACACTGATGGATCTAAACAGGAGTCTTCTGGCAGGGCTGCATCTGCTCTTGTTGCCACCTCCCTAGTTAAGAACGATAATAAATTTGTTGAACTAGGCATAAGAATTAACAACTGGGCGTCTACACTGCAAACTGAATTGTTTACAATCCTAATGACGCTAAAGTAAACTTATGACATTGAGCTTGACTCTATCATCATTACTGATTCTATGTCATCATTGAAGGCTCTTAACTCACATAATGACTCCATCAACATGGTCATTGGAGAAGCCAGGTATAGATGCTCAAAAATCGGGGACAAAGGAAGTAATGTACAATTGCTATGGATCCCATCACACATTGGATTACTCCTTCATGATAAAGTTGATATGTTAGCCAAGAAGAGTATCGAGAAGGAGAATGTAGAATATAACTTTGGTATAACTGTGTCTAGCATTAGAAATAATATTAGGAGAGAAGTAAATAATGAAAATGATTGTTATAAGAATGCAATTAGAAGCCTGAGTAGATCTATAACCCACTATGATAACATGAACGTAGATAAATATGTTTATGGAGCAACTTGCAATGTGAACAGACTGACTGATGTTGTAGTGGCCAGGCTTAGGCTTGGTTACAAGTACTTCTGGCAGTTTGGGAGACACACAGATGATGATCAAACTAAATGTAAATTAAGTGATCAGGCATAAGGTCACTCTCTTGAACACTATGTGCCTAATTGTCCACTTATTGAGGAATACAGAGACAGGTAGTATAATAACCTATGTGACATGTCAAGATATCTTATTAATGAAAATAAGATACCAGATATATTAAGCAAATTTCCTAAATTTGCTTGTAACAGATAAGCGAACTGTAGATATAAATCCATATGTATTCCTGTTAACCCTTTGGGGCCTAGTTCCTAGGCCTTTTGTGTATCCATATGCTCTTGCGCTACCGTCCACAGGATGGATGTCGCCTGCACAATAAACTAGCCACTTCAGTGGCAAAATCTAAAAATCTAAATCCTGTGAGAAATAAGGTCTTAATAAGCTGACCAAGTGGCTAACACAGTATGTGCACCACTGCCCTGGACATCAACATGTGCACCACTGCCCTGGACATCAACATGTGCACCACTGCCCTGGACATCAACATGTGCACCACTGCCCTGGACATCAACATGTCCACCACTCCCCTGGACATCAACATGTGCACCACTCCCCTGGACATCAACATGTCCACCACTCCCCTGGACATCAACATGTGCACCACTGCCCTGGACATCAACATGTGCACCACTCCCCTGGACATCAACATGTCCACCACTCCCCTGGACATCAACATGTGCACCACTCCCCTGGACATCAACATGTCCACCACTCCCCTGGACATCAACATGTGCACCACTGCCCTGGACATCAACATGTGCACCACTCCCCTGGACATCAACATGTCCACCACTCCCCTGGACATCAACATGTGCACCACTCCCCTGGACATCAACATGTCCACCACTCCCTGGACATCAACATGTGCACCACTCCCCTGGACATCAACATGTGCACCACTCCCCTGGACATCAACATGTGCACCACTGCCCTGGACATCAACATGTGCACCACTGCCCTGGATATCAACATGTGCACCACTGCCCTGGACATCAACATGTGCACCACTGCCCTGGACATCAACATGTGCACCACTGCCCTGGACATCAACATGTGCACCACTGCCCTGGATATCAACATGTGCACCACTGCCCTGGACATCAACATGTGCACCACTGCCCTGGACATCAACATGTGCACCACTGCCCTGGATATCAACATGTGCACCACTGCCCTGGATATCAACATGTGCACCACTGCCCTGGATATCAACATGTGCACCACTGCCCCGGATATCAACATGTGCACCACTGCCCTGGACATCAACATGTGCACCACTGCCCTGGACATCAACATGTGCACCACTGCCCTGGATATCAACATGTGCACCACTGCCCTGGACATCAACATGTGCACCACTGCCCTGGACATCAACATGTGCACCACTGCCCTGGATATCAACATGTGCACCACTGCCCTGGACATCAACATGTGCACCACTGCCCTGGACATCAACATGTGCACCACTGCCCTGGATATCAACATGTGCACCACTGCCTGGACATCAACATGTGCACCACTGCCCTGGATATCAACATGTGCACCACTGCCCTGGATATCAACATGTGCACCACTGCCCTGGACATCAACATGTGCACCACTGCCCTGGATATCAACATGTGCACCACTCCCCTGGACATCAACATGTGCACCACTGCCCTGGACATCAACATGTGCACCACTGCCCTGGATATCAACATGTGCACCACTGCCCTGGATATCAACATGTGCACCACTGCCCTGGATATCAACATGTGCACCACTGCCCTGGATATCAACATGTGCACCACTGCCCTGGACATCAACATGTGCACCACTGCCCTGGACATCAACATGTGCATCACTGCCCTGGACATCAACATGTGCACCACTACCCTGGACATCAACATGTGCACCACTGCCCTGGATATCAACATGTGCACCACTGCCCTGGACATCAACATGTGCACCACTGCCCTGGACATCAACATGTGCACCACTGCCCTGGATATCAACATGTGCACCACTGCCCTGGATATCAACATGTGCACCACTGCCCTGGACATCAACATGTGCACCACTGCCCTGGATATCAACATGTGCACCACTGCCCTGGACATCAACATGTGCACCACTCCCCTGGATATCAACATGTGCACCACTGCCCTGGACATCAACATGTGCACCACTGCCCTGGACATCAACATGTGCACCACTGCCCTGGATATCAACATGTGCACCACTCCCCTGGATATCAACATGTGCACCACTGCCCTGGACATCAACATGTGCACCACTGCCCTGGACATCAACATGTGCACCACTGCCCTGGACATCAACATGTGCACCACTGCCCTGGACATCAACATGTGCACCACTGCCCTGGACATCAACATGTGCACCACTGCCTTGGACATCAACATGTGCACCACTGCCCTGGACATCAACATGTGTACCACTGCCCTGGACATCAACATGTGCACCACTGCCCTGGACATCAACATGTGCACCACTGCCCTGGACATCAACATGTGCACCACTGCCTTGGACATCAACATGTGCACCACTGCCCTGGACATCAACATGTGCACCACTGCCCTGGACATCAACATGTGCACCACTGCCCTGGACATCAACATGTGCACCACTGCCCTGGACATCAACATGTGCACCACTGCCCTGGACATCAACATGTGCACCACTGCCCTGGACATCAACATGTGCACCACTGCCCTGGACATCAACATGTGCACCACTGCCCTTGGCATCAACATGTGCACCACTGCCCTGGATATCAACATGTGCACCACTGCCCTGGACATCAACATGTGCACCACTGCCCTGGACATCAACATGTGCACCACTGCCCTGGACATCAACATGTGCACCACTGCCCTGGACATCAACATGTGCACCACTGCCCTGGATATCAACATGTGCACCACTGCCCTGGATATCAACATGTGCACCACTGCCCTGGATATCAACATGTGCACCACTGCCCTGGACATCAACATGTGCACCACTGCCCTGGACATCAACATGTGCACCACTGCCCTGGACATCAACATGTGCACCACTGCCCTGGATATCAACATGTGCACCACTGCCCTGGACATCAACATGTGCACCACTGCCCTGGACATCAACATGTGCACCACTGCCCTGGACATCAACATGTGCACCACTGCCCTGGACATCAACATGTGCACCACTCCCCTGGATATCAACATGTGTACCACTGCCCTGGACATCAACATGTGCACCACTGCCCTGGACATCAACATGTGCACCACTCCCCTGGATATCAACATGTGCACCACTGCCCTGGACATCAACATGTGCACC